CTTATCAAGAGCTTTCATTTGAGTACCCACATGTATTTTTGATATATTTTTCATGTATACATATATATAATATATATATAAATATATATAATATATGAAAAATTGATGTAGGTACTCAAATGAAAGGTCTTAATGAGTATAATGTCAAGATGAGCTTATATCTAAAAAATTATCAATAGTTGACAAGATACAAGGTACTTTCTTAAATATTGACGTTTTAAAAGATATAAGCTTATCTTGATGTTACACTCATCAAGACCTTTCATTAGAGTACCCACATGAATTTTTGATATATTTTTCATATATACATATATATAATATATATAAATATATAAAATATATGAAAAATTGATGTGGGTACTCAAATGAAAGGTCTTAATGAGTGTAACAACGGGTTGAGCTTATATCTTGAAAATTAATTCATGAAATACAAGGTAATTTCTTAAGTATCATATAAAATTCACATATATAATTTTGAAAAATTTCTACTTGTAGAATTTTTTAAATTATAATTTACTTATTAAAAAAATTTTTTTAAGTTTTCGCAATTAATAATGATAAAGAAAAATTGAATAAAATTTTAAAAAATGTCGCTTGAAAGCAGCTAGGTATAAATTTAATATAATTTAGACCCTACAACTCCTAACTTTCTTTGCTCTCCTCATTAATGCTGACTGAATTAGCTAATTCACTAATCCAGTGGATGTTATGAGGTAATTAATGTAAAAATAAAAAATGTACCTCCGCCAGCTGGTGCGGCTCCAACACCGGATCCTACATTGGTGATGAGGTCCTTGATGTTGATACCTTCCAGAGCCTTGGCGAAAAGTCCTGGCCAGTAAGGCTCAACTTCAACGTTGGCGGCTTTCAGAATAGTCTGAATTTTCTCACCCTGAAAATTTAAGCGAGTTATTAATTAAGCTTCAATTGTTCAATTAATTATTAATTAAGTAGGAAAAGTGAGATATAAAAGTAGAAAAAAAAAAGTACACGTGGTTTTTGATATATAGGTTACTTACAGTTACAGCAACATCATCATCAGCGAGGATCAATGCGGAGTAAACGCAAGCAAGTTCAGCCTTTGTCGACATCTTGAGATTTTATTTATTTAATTAAAAACTTTGGATGGTTTTATTTAAAAGTGCAAGTTGCCGATATTATTGCGGCCTTAGCTGACTAGCAGAACAAGCACACGGTCGTCTGATCAACGAAAGAAAAAGACAGTGTGGAGGATGTTATTTCATAGCTTACCCGTCAGAGGAACTCACTAGCGCTGTCTTTCGGTATTTGTGTGAACTTTTTTTTAGCGCGACAATTTTAAATTAAATTTATAGATATTATTAATAATAATAATAATAACTAACAACCTTGCAGTCACTACGTGCCTGCCGTTACTTTCAAATTAAAAATAAATGAAATTTTGCATTATTAAATAATGACTTTTGTTAAATTGCACTGTACTTTCTTAAATATTGACTTTTTTAAAGATATAAGCTCATCTTGATGTTACATTCATCAAGAGCTTTCATTTGAGTACCCACATGCATTTTGATATATTTTTCATATATATGGTATTTATGAAATATATAAATATATAAAATATATGAAAAATTGATGTGGGTACTCAAATGAAAGGTCCCCATGAGTGTAATGTCAGGATGAGCTTATATCTTTAAAAATATCATTAGTTGACAAGATACAAGGTCATTTTTTAATTATTGGTATTTTTCAAGATCGAAACTCATCCTGATGTTACACTCTTTGAGAGCTTTCATTTGAGTACCCATATGACATTTTTTATATATATCGTATTTGTGAAATATATAAATATATGAAATATATGAAAAATTGATGTGGGTATTCAAAGCAAAGGTCTCGATGAGTGTAACATCGGAATGAGTTTATATCTTTAAAAATGTCAATAGTTCACGAGATATAAGGTCATTTTTAATTATTGATATTTTTAACAATGTAAGCTCATCTTGATGTTATACTCATAAAGAGTTTTCATTTGAGTACCCACATGGCATTTTTTATATATTTTATATATTTATATATTTCATAAATACCATATATATGAAAAATATATCAAAATGCATGTGGGTACTCAAATGAAAGCTCTTGATGAATGTAACATCAAGATGAGCTTATATCTTTAATAATGTCAATAGTTCACAAGATACAAGGTCAATTCTTAATCATGTATTTAGATATAGAGCATTTTCAAATGCAGTCTAAATATTTATCATAAATTGACTGTCGGTCAGAGTAAAATGAAACCTTGAAAAGGCATAAATTCAAGTTAAGACCTTTGTAATGACATCAAACTTCACTAAAAAAAACTGATTTTATAATATGACTATACTGGAGACAATATTTTTTTTATTCTCTAAATAATATAGATAATAATAATTAAAAAAATTATAAATCTCTTAATACACTAATATAAATTTCGTAAATTTAGTAACTTTTTTATTGAACGAAGATAATTTAAAATAAATTGTCTGTCTAATTAAAGTTAACAGTAACTTGACTATTTTTTAATTTTATTTAACAAAAAAATTTATTTAAAAAAAATTGCATTTTTTATTTTTCTAAATCTCTAAATCATGAAGGAATAAAATTCTAATGTTAGTGTCATTAAATTTTCACTAATTACCTTCACTCAAAATCACTTTTTAAAATCTTTTCAAAAATTACAATAATAATAATTTTCAATGAAAATAAAGTTAGCCGACATCGAAAAAATTTTATAATTTTTTTTTATTAAAGAATTATTAAAAAAAAATTTTTTTATTCGTTGAAAACTTCAAAAAAGTGTAAGTGCAATTTTTTAAAAATATTTTTTTGTTATATTTTAATAAATTAAGATAATTAAAAAAATCAAAAATGTCGGCTAACTTTATTATTATTAATTTTTTCTCTTTTCAAACCATAACCCAGCTGTCACTAAAATCTTTATTTAAGATATTATAAATTACCAAAAAATTCTCGCAATTAATATTTTCAAAACAATTACGAAATAAATTTTAATAACACAAAATAAAACTCACTCCATTTATAAACTTTTCAATTTTCGGATGTTGCTATATTCACACTTATCCTCCCGCGCATGCGCATTATACTGCGCAGTAGTCTGCGCAGTCGTCAAATAAAGAAAAACCAAAATACTACAAATGGCGGCAAATATTACGCAATCACCCTCAACAATATCGAACAATCCCCTCTAAAAATTCCAAATATTCTTCAAAAACCAATCAGCTATTCCTAAAAACCCAATTTCACAAAAATAAAACTTAAAAACAAAAAAATAACAATAAAAAAAACACCAGTGTTTAAATATTCAAAAGTGACTAATCTCGATCGCGATAAGTCGATTCTCGAGTGTGCTTTTTAGTGGCGCGGCATGTATTCGCATGATCGATTACCGTTCACAAAACGTTTTCACAGTCAGTGTTTGTGTGCCATTGTAAGCGACACGGTGTGTGATAGTGACGACGGAATAACTTTTTTTGTTTAAATTTTTACCGATTTAACTACAGTAGTTTTAATTAATTAAAATAGTGAATAATATTACTCAACAGTGTTCCAATAAAATGTTTGTTAAAACAATAATAAATAATATGTAAATTAACAAATAATTGTTGATATTAAACTCGAGTTTGTACTCACGCGTTTATATTGTTATGTAGTTGTGAGATGTAAGATTGTGTCGTGTAAATGAAGAGGCGGCGAATCCGCGCGGCGGTCGCGTGCTAGTGCTTATATATATATATATATACATATATATTAATATATAACACCTATATACTTTTATACACACCTATATTACTCCACATACATATATACTTACTGTATATTTTATATATAAAAAAATACACCGACCTATCAATAAATATATGTACTTGTTACAAAACAAACATTAAATTTCAGTACATGGAATGGCGCGTAAATGCTGTGTAAAAAATTGTGAAATTAATGGCAATGATGTACATGCTGTCGGTATTCCTATTCATAGATTTCCTAAGGATTTACTTTTGAGAAGCAAATGGTTAGCAAATGCTGGATTTGAGGAATATTACAAACCTTTTCCCGGTCAATTTGTTTGCTATAGACATTTCTTGAAAAATGATTATGAAATTAATAAAAACATGCCGGGGCATAAATTTCTGCTGAAGAAAGGATCTGTGCCGACGGTCTTTGACAACTATCATAATCATCCAGGTATTTTTTTAATTAATATTTATTTTTTTAGTTTATGAGATTTTAATGACATTTTTTTTTTTTTATTACTTGTTTTGTTGAAAATTAGAGCGCAAGTAAATTTGTCCATGCTTCTAGACACTACGTTATCGTCACGACGTAGTTTGTAGATTACGGTGATCTCATCGCGAATCATTTACGTGTCTCCGGTTTTTGTAATTTTGTTATGAGTTTGCTATCATGTTAACATGTAGTTTTAGGAATTACGTTAAAGCTAGCAGTCAATTAACAATTTTTTTAAATTTTATTTAACAAAAAAATTTGTCCAAAAAAAATCATTACAAAAAATTGAATTTTTTTATTTTTTTAAATTTCTACATGTAAATTTTTTTTGCCATAATTTATTTTTTTAAATTATTAAATATATGCTAAATTAATTTCCATGTTTTAGGATTGTTTTTATTAATTTTACGGGGGTTAGATAATTTGAAATTTTTAATTTGGGAAATAAATAAAAAGCGTCACATAAAAAACTATTTACTTTTTGGTAAATTTTATTTACCAAGAAGTCTAAAATTAATAATTGTTAACTTAAATTCAACAAAATATGATCAAAAAAATTTCGTGCTACTTGGGAATAAAGTTAGCAGACAAATCATAATTAAAAAATTTTTTTTTTTATTGAAAAATTTATAACAAAAAATTTTTAAAAATTTCACGTCGAAAACTTGAAAAAAAAATTTTTTTTTAGTTTTAATTGTTAAACTTCTACTAATTTTACGATCATTTACTCATTGCAGTGGGTGATTGTACTTATGTTAATAATTTAGATAATTCATGTAAGCATTGATATCAGTCAGAAGTTTTCCCGCTATTTATATTCAGTTGGAAATAAATTTATTCGATCTAAAATTAAATGATTAAAATTTCTTATTCGGCAAGAAAATTAAAAATTGTAGATAAAATTTTTCCCGCCAATTTTATCTCAATTCAAAATTAAAATAATTTTTTTTTAATTAATTAATTTTAAAACAAATGGAAATAATTATTTATATTGATTTTATCTACATTGAAAATTTAATTTAATCAAAAATAATGAAGCTACCTATTCATTTTATTTTTTTTTAGTGTTGATTTTATGTTAAAATTTTATTTGTATAAATATTTATGATACTGAATTCAACAGAAAATTAATAATTTTGAAAATATTTAAAACAATTAAATTAAAATGAAAAAAATTTCAGATGTAGAAATTCAAAAAAATTATGCGTGAATTTTTTAACTTCTTATTTTCTTTACACTGTATTTACTTATTTTATTACGCATTTCCGGTATTTAATTTTGTAAATACTATAATCCATTCCGGCATATTTTAATTTTGTCTGTAGCTAAAAACATATTCAAATTTATTATTTATATATTTACTTTTATACTAAGCGTAAATAATATAAATTAAAAAAAAAATTTTTTTTTAATGTGTAAAATTAATCTAATTTTATTTACATTTTAGATCCTGTGGTGCCATTAACAGTAACAAAGTCACCCGTAAAAAGTAATAATAATTTACCTGAAAATTTAATCCCGACAAACTCAGAAATGACACAATTGGAGCCAGAAAATATACCTGAAGCTCAAGGGTCAAATTCAAAACCCGAAGAACTTAAAAAAGAGGTTCCTAATAAAGATTTACTCATAAATTCGAGTAACAAATTTGAAAGTATAAAAAAACCAGCTGGTTCTGATAATTTGGGGATACAAATTCAAAATGTGATTGATACTACGGTTGAAAAAAAAGAATTCACTGAAAAATTCACTGAAGACCCTCCCGCAGAACCACCACCTCTTCTAGATGATCCGGTGGACAATGTAAAACTTAATGAAGATTCCTGTAAATCTAATGGAGATATAGAAAATAATATCCAAGAGCCAAACGTTGAAAATGGAAAATTTTCCAAGTCCAGGAATGGTAATTCAGGATTGACATTTTTTGTTGGTTCGAAATTGGAATGTAAGACTTTTAGCGAGAAATGGCAAGTACATTTTTTTTTTTTTTTTTTTTTTTTTTTTTTTTTTCATTTAAAAATATATATTTAAAAAATTGCACGTATAGTTTTTTAATTTAAAAAAAAATTCATTTTTTTTTCTAATTATTTTTAATACAAAAAAAATTCTAAAAATTTTTTAATAATTTAATTTTTACTTTAAAAATATAATTAAAAATTAATTTATTAACATTATGTTGTTGCTAACAGGTGTGTAGCTGTAGTCGTGGAGACTGATTGGAGAGAACGAGAAATTTTGATAAATTTTGATAAACGTCGTCCGACAACTAATGAGTGGATATCAATGGATAGTCCTAGATTGAGAAGCATCCGACCTAGGTAAGATTTTTATTTCTGAATTTTTGAGAATAAAATCTCAGTCATTTATTCATTGTATGTACAGCTTTTAAAAGTTACTAATGGACATCAAGCTTTTTAATGAAAATGATGAATAAAAAATTTTTATAAATATTCATCTAATTTTTTTAGTAATGTTTAAATTAATGTAACCGGTCATTACAATTTACATAATTTATAAATGACATTTTTTAATTAAAGATAAATTTATTCATATAATAATTTTAGAACAGGAATTTTATTTATCATTTCATTCACTAGTTTGATGAATTAATACAAAGAATAAAATCATTGTCATTTTTTTTTTTTTTTTTTTTTTTCTAAAGTGAGGAAGTATGGGTACAACCAACCGAGTAAGTTGATAATAACAAAAAAAATTTTCTTTTTTATTTCTATGGGTATTTAGAGGCCTGCATATGATTTTTAAATGTAGAATTGATTGATAAATTTAATAATTTAAAATTATGCATGAGTTTTTAAGTAAAGCTAGTGTAATGATTTGGTTAATCGGGCTGAAAAATTTAAAAATTTACTTGTAATTAAGGAATATATTTTTTTAATTTATTACATTTGAAAAAAAAATTAAAATTGAGAAAATTTACAATTTAGATTTACAACATATTAAATTAATTAAAAATAATTCTTTTTTTGATTTTTTACATATGAAATTATTTTGTTTTAATTATAAAAATTTTTAAATGCCGACTAACTTAATTTTCGGGATTTTTATCACAGATTAATTATAAAAAAATTTTTTTTATTATAATTTAATTGTTATAAAAATTTTAACAATTTTTAGACATCTGCTAAATTATGACTGAAGTTACCAGACATTTAAAAATAATTTTATTTTTTTTTAAACAAACTAAATTAAGAAAATTATTTTTAAAAAATTACTATTGAATTTATAATTTTTCAGAGTTTTTAAAAACTAAATTTTGAAATAAATTTTACTTTAATTTATTTATCAAAAAAAAATATAAAAATTATCAAGTATCTCTTAATTTCAGTATCTAATTAAAATATTATTTTTTTTTTTAAATTATAAAAATTCTAAAAGTACTTATATGCAATAATTTGTTCGATAAAAAAATTATAAAAATTTTTAAATGCCGACTAACTTAATTTTCGGGTTTTTTTTTATCACAGATCAATTATAAAAAAAAATTTTCTTTTTAACAAACTAAATTAAAAAAATTACTATTGAATTTATAATTTTTCAGTTTTTAAAAATGGTAATTTTAAAATAAATTTTGCTTTAATTTATTTATCAAAAAAACTATTAAGGATCTCTTAATTTCAGAGTGAAAATTAATGTAGCACATATTTAACAATTTTAAAAATTTTATAACAAATAAATTATGGCAAAAAAAATTTTAAAAAATAAAAAATGCAATTTTTTAAAATTAATTTTTTGGAATAAATTTTTTTGTTAAATAAAATTATAAAAATTTTTATAAAAAACAATAGAAGTAAAATTTCAAATAAACCCGCTCGATAGACAGGATTTCCTTGTAAACTCCGTTTCATAGGGTAAAAGTAAAAATCGCTAGCGTTAGATACGGGGGCATAGCAAATGTGTGTGAGTCATCGTAAATTGACAGTCTGTTTTCCTTTATCACTGTGTAAACTCACGTCATAAAAACAATCTATATATACATACATACACGCTTCCACACATACATGAAAACAAACAACAATATTTATATTTAAATAGTGAAATAAATAATTAATAATAAATAATAATCTTTAGGAGCTCAAAAATGCGTGAATTTATTGTTGGAGAAAGAGTTTTAGCAACGTGGGCAGATGGAAGAAAATATCCAGCTAAGATAAATGGAGTTTTGGAAGCAGGTTAGTAAATCTAGTTGCTTAGCTCTGCGCATTACATTCTTTACATATATATATATATATATATATATCAACTACAGGTTATACACTTATGTATACATAACATACTTGCCAAGTCTTGACGTTTAACTGCTGAGATATAAATAAATATTTTTTTATATAAATTATATATATATTAAATTAAATTAATAATGAATATAAATATATATTTTTTCTATTAATTAATATAGATAAATATGACGTGCTGTTTGATGACGGTTATCAAAAAATAGTCCGTGGATCGAAAATAACTAAAATAGCCTCTGCCAGTTCTAAGGTGAGTTTTTATTTTATTAGTGAGGTTATGTTATTGTAGTTGTTTAATTATTTTTTATTATTATTATCAATTATGTCTACTTATCTTGATCATAGTTAGTAAAGTATCAATTACTCCGATTGAATTTATTTTATGCTAAGTGTGTGTTTAGGTATTTTTTAGTTAGTTATTTTAATTGCTTTTATTTTTTGTGATACTGAAAAAATCTGACAGGAAAATTTTACGGGCAAGTTAAATATCAGGAAAATAATTTTTCTTAGTCTCTTAATTACATAGATAAATTTTTGACGTATACTAAACACAATAAATTAATAAATAAATAAACAAATTTTGTTTTTCGCGAAATTCTAATTTATTTATGACTACTTGAAAAAATTATAAATATTATTAAGAGAATAAGAAAAATTATGTGTCCATGATAAATTCGGTTTTTTTTAGTAAAATTTAGTGTCATTGCAAAGGTCTTGATTTGAATTTGTGCCTTTTTAAGGTGTCATATCATTCTTATAAATACTTTATTTTATCATATGAATACTCCAAAATTTTCCTTATTTTTGTAATTACATAAACTAGCAAACTTGCAGTTTTAATGAAATTAATTAAATTAATGAGATTTTGCTTTATTGAATAATGACGTATTCAAAGATATAAGCTCATCCTGATGTTACACTCATCAAGAGCTTTCATTTGAGTACCCACATGCATTTTTTATATATTTTTCATATATACATATATATGATATTTGTGAAATATATGAAATATATTAAAAATTGATGTGGGTACTCAAATGAAAGGTCTCGATGAGTGTAACATCAGGATGAGCTTATATGGTTAAAAATGTTATCAGTGGACAAAATACAATGTCATTTCTTAATTATTGACATTTTTAAAGATATAAGCTCATCTTGATGTTACACTCATCAAGAGC